TCATACAGCAGTTATATAAAGCCATACAATAAAAACATACAGAAGGGTAAAGGCGTAATTTCAAATCTTTACTTAGTTTGAATTTATCTGTCACTAAATGGGATCAACTCTCTAGCTTCCCTAGTGGAGTCGCCATCTGTCGCCGCCGTCCCTTCCAACGTCCTAAAGACGTCTTGAAACGTTTATGCGAGCGGTCGCGAAAAGATGGTTTAGACTCGCGTATTTGTTTTAAAAGGTTTTCGAAAAGGGGTTCTTATGGAGTCGCCACCAATGTTTTGACCATAAACATTGGAAAAGGATAAAAGGTATTGATTTTAATGAAAAACCAAACTTGGCCATTATAACCAGAGTTGGGTAAGGGAGTTAGTTACGTGTGGGGAAGGTGTTAGCACCCCACAACGCCCCTTTCGGGTTCCCTATGATAGATCAATTCATTTTAAGAGAAGACTTCGAGAAATTACGCGATTACCCTATTTTATTGCATAATATTAAAATGGCTATCTACATGATAAAGCTAAATAAAGCAATAAAAGAGATATAAAAATGGCTATCTACATGATTTTATTCTACATGGCATAAACAGTAAATAAAGCTAAATAAAACAATAAATAAAGCAATAAAAGAGAAGAGAATTGAAAAGAACCTCCGTAGCAAGCTTTGTATTGAGAATCTCGAACTGTGAGGATGCGTTTTGGCAACCCCTCTCTCTACACAGACTCTCCTCACTAATACAAGATCGACTCCACTAAAAATTTAAAGAAGAATCAAATGCCGGAATATAATTCCTTAACCGATTGTTACCTATTTAAGGAAATCGGAAAGATCATTCGAGAAAGGGAGAGAAGTAGACAAGTGCTCTGAGTTTTTGAAAGTGTTTCAGAGCTCTCTGGAGTGTCTGTGGTCTCAAAAAGTGGCAAATGAGCCTCCTATTTATAGTTTTCGCAGCTGGCGCACTTTGGGACGGCCGTCTGGGTTGGGACGGCCGTCTGGACTGGGATGGCCGTCCCAAATGTCATTTTTACACAGGGCGAGACCACCAGGGGACCTGGGACGGCCGTCCCACTTGAAATTGGCCTTGGGACGGCCGTCCCAACTTCGGGACGCGCGTCCCAACTGAATCTGGAGGGTTGGGACGGCCGTCCCAACTTGGGACGGCCGTCTCAACCTGTTCTGGCCAGTTTTCGCGTTTCGGGACCACCTGTTGTGTTTGGGACCACCTGTTGTGTTTGGGACCACCTGTTGTGTTTGGGACCACCTGTTGTGTTTGGGACGGCCTGTTGATGCCGATAGGTGTCCGTTGAAGCTTTATCTTCGTGTAGGAAGTCTCCTTTGTTCGTTATCGTGTAGACGAGCGATCTCTGTATTGGTTGCGGGAGGTTTCCTCGTTTTTGGGAAGCCGGATGAACTCCATCTTCGGGTGAAGTTCCTCTAGCTTTTTCTTTTGAGAGGCCGGGCAAAATTAGGGGTCTACATTGGGTATTGAGGTGGCACAGTCCAATGATGGTATTGTTATATCTCAGAGGAAGTATACCATGGATATTTTGGAAGAAACTGGGTTGATGAGTTCAAAGTATGTTGATACACCCATGGATCCCAATACTAAACTTCTACCAAATCAGGGGGAGTTTATATCTGATCCTGAACAGTATAGAATATTGGTTGAAAAATTGAATTATCTTACAGTTACTCGTCCTGACATTTCCTTTGCAGTCAATGTGGTAAGTCAATTTCTTAATTCACCATGTGAAGATCATTAGAATGCAATCATTCGTATTTTGAAGTATATTAAAGATCTCCTGGAAAATGATTGTTATATGGTTCTAATAACCGTATAAGAGTTGTTTGTTACTCAGATGCTGATTGGGCAGGATCTCCTTCGGATAGAAGATCTACATCTAGATATTATGTCTCCATTGATGATAACTTGAACTCATAGAAAAGTAAGAAACAAAGTGTTGTGGCAAGATCCAGTGCCGAAGCAGAATATAAAACTATGACCTTAGCTGCCTGTGAACTTGTTTGGCTCAAGTAATTGCTTAGAGAGTTACAATTTGGAGATGCCACTCAAATGACACTTGTGTGTGACAATCAGGCTGCTCTTCATATTAGTTCTAATCCTATCTTTTATGAGAGGACCAAACACATTGAGATTGACTGTCATTTCATTTGAGAAAAGATTATGTTTGGAAACATCAAGACTGAGTTTATTAACTCAAGTGATCAGTTAACAGATATTTTCACTAAGTCTTTACGGGGGCCTAGAATTGATTATATTTGTAACAAGCTTGACACATATGATTTGTATGCTCCAGCTTGAGGGGGAGTGTTAGATATTGTTAGATATTATTAACCACAATATCAAACAATATTTTCTGTTTATTTTGTTTACTTTCGGTTACTCTTTTAGTTGTACCTCTCTCTATTATAAATAGATTACCCTATGTGTGGTTTATACACAAGGGAGATTAATCTCAAACCTTATTTCCTCTATATTCAACAATGTTACATGTCCAATAATGTGAAGAAATTTAGCTACTTGTTCTTTGACGGTTGATCAAAATGCATCTTCATGTTATATGTTACAAAATTGTTCTACGTGCACTAAATACAACAACAACTCTTGTCAACGACACTCTTCTTGAGAAACAAACTCTAGAATATTTGGTGTTGACAAACATAACACATTCAATGCATAAATAACACCGCAAAGAATCACCACTAATGTTACTTTGGTACAAAGTTTTATTTGTTGTTATAAATATTAAATGAAATTAAAGTCGTCACCAAAAACATTATTATCAAGTCTTAATTAGCAAAATATATCCTATAATTTGAATTTTTTTTATTAATTATATTTACCTCAATCAAAATCAAATAAAAATAAATTTTCAATTATAATTTTAAAATTTTGAGGACCATATTAATAAATTACTATTATACTATATTTTTAAAAAAATTAAACATTTATTTTCATACCTAATTTATTATATGTTATCAATAATCTTAAATTTAATTTCATTATACAATTTAATATATTATTAACAAATTTATTTATAACTTAAATTTTATTTTATTAGACTATTAACATAATTGTAAATTTAATTTCATTATACAATTTAATATATTATTAACAAACTTAAAGTTTATTTTATTATACTATTTTAATATTTAATTAATGAAAAACCAAAATTTTATAAAATATCTATTATATATTTTATATTATTTTAGTATATATTTATCATAAATTACAAATTCATAAAATATTTAATATTATATTTGTACATAATCTAACTTTATATTTAATATTTACCTAAATACAAATTTAATATAAATAATAATTTTTTTACCTGATTTAATTTAAAAAAAAAACTTAATCTCGTTTTAAACAATTTTAACATAATCTAACTTAAAATCCTACTCTAATATAAGTGCGAATATTATTAACAAGATCAAATTACATCATACACTCTTAAATATAATTAGTGGAAAACCAAAATTTCAAGCAACAATTTTATTAATTGACTTACCCGTTGAAGCACTAACTAATCACTAGCAGCACCACCACCAACAATGGCAACAACACACTACCAATACAAAAGCACGAGGACCACCACCACAAAGAACCACCACAGACCACCACCATGGAACACCAACTACAACATGATATCAATAGCAACACCACCATCACACGACAAACACCACCACCACGACATGACAAGCACCACCATCACCCATGATGGCGAACATTTAGAGACTACCAACCAATACACCAATCTACAATGAATACTATGTCAATCAACCAATGCCACACACGTCACGAACCCATTAGCAGCACCAGCAACCCACATAATGAACTAGATGACGACCATCACGACTCACCGATCACCACACACAACCTACGATACATTACAACACCATCAATTCTTGAAACCCACGATACAACTCACACACGAGAATAAATTCTCGTTGAAATAAAATGTGGTCGATAATTAATTCTGGTACAAGGAGAATTAATTTTAGTCATCGATAATAGATTCTACATGAATAATGTGGTTGAGAATCGATTCTCCTTCGTTAAAAATAGATTCTCATAAATAGAAAATTGATTCTCCATAAATTGAATGTGAGTTAGAATCGATTCTTACTTCATCAAAGTGGCAGAGAATTGATTCCATGAGCACCGAGAATTGGTTATTTGCAACCATTTTTACTCAGAATCGAGGAGCACCACCACCACCACCATAGAGAACCACCATGGACTAGCACCACCATGGACTAGCACCAGGGAGCACCAACAATAGCATGGCACTAGTGGCAACACCACCATCACACAACCAACACAACGAGCATCACCACCACTCATAATGACGAACACATGAAGACTACCAACCAATACACCAATCTACGACGAATATTCCGCTAGTTAACCAATACCACACACATCACGAACCCACCAACAGTACCAACAGCCTACATAATGAACTAGACTATGACTATCATGACTCACTGATCACCACGCACAACCTATAATACATTACAACACACATCAATTCTCGAAACCCACAACACAACTCAAATACGAGAATAGATTCTTGTTGAAATAAAATGTGTTCAAGAATCAATTCTAGTACTTGGAAAATGGATTCTAGCCATCAAGAATTGATCCTGCATGAATAATACGGAGAATCAATTTTCCTTCATTCTTTTTTATCGAGAATTGATTATCATAAACGAAAAATTGATTTTTCATGCATTGAATACGAGTGAAAATCAATTCTCACTTTATCAAACTCGTAAAGAATCAATATTATGAACATTGAAAATTAGTTCTTTACAACCATTCTCCCTCATAATTGATTCTTTCTGTCACTCTTAGCTACCAACGCACACGACACACAAACCAAACCACCACCACCAAGACCCAACCTCACTATACAAATGAGCAATGTATTGAATATGACACATAACCCTCCCAAGTTAAACACTCTTAGGTTTCTAACGGCGCATTGAACCTTGGCTCATCTCCTCGTTGCAGTGGAGGACATGATCCACTCTCACCCTCAAAACCGCTCTTCCAAATGTCCTCACCTAGCCTGGAAACAAACGTAATCCATCATCATTCTTGAATCCGAGTAAACAATAAATAAGTGGATACCTCCAAATATATACCGTTACTTGCCAACCATATTTTATTATTATTATTCTTTGTGTTTTTCATAAGAAGTGATTAATGGACACCCTCGAGATACAAAACATTCGTCATAAATTTATTTTATCATAAAAGTAATTTTTATCATCTAATTTAAAAAAATATTTGATGATACATTATTGTTGAGAAAATGTTTAAGATTTGCAGGTGTGAACATATCTTTTTCCTTTTTTCATTAATACTATTATTATAACTGAAAAGAGTACTACTATTTCACATGGTAAGACTGAAAGACCTTCGTTTTTTTCTCCATTGGCAAAGGAGCCACAATTGAACTGTGTCGTTGTTTCCAAGATTCTGCTGTCTCTAACGTGGACGGAGAGTGAACGGCGCTTGGGATGACATCATGGGATCTTGCGTGAGTGGATCCCAAAGTGAATGCTATTGGTTGCTGACGTTATTGGATGGATGGCATGGACGTGAGTTTGGGTGGAACTCTCCACTCTCACCCATCTTCTCGAACCAGTTATTCTTCTCACTTTCTTAGGTTAAAATATTACTACCTTCGTCACTTTTCATTTACTAATTTGTGTGAATCCATCCCATGAATAACAAAGTTAATTTTTTTCTTAAATCTTCTAAATTTATTTATTCAACTAAATAGTTATACACAACATTCAATTAAATTAAAATAAATTCGTCCAACATAATATAATTGTTTTTCTTTTTTTTATATATATATTTTATTATTTTTCTCTCTATTTATTATATGTTATTATTATTTTTTTGTCTTCATTTAATATTTATTTTCTTTTTTTTGAAATAATTTTTTAACAAATATTTTTTTAAAATTAGTTAATTTAATTAATTATCATAACTCAAATTAATTATAACTGCATCAAATTATTAAGTAAAAAAATACATTTAACTCATAAATATTTAATATTTTTTAATTAGATGAGTAGTTATTATTATGATAAAATAATTTTAAATTAATTATTTATATTATAATGAATAAATTTATGTATTATCAAAATAAATAAAATTATTTATTATAATCATAATTTTAAATAATTAGTTAATATTTTGTACTTTCAATGTTAAATTTAAAATATTTATTTTAATATATTTTTATTAATTTAATATAATGGTTTAACGAGAAGAATAAGTGGGTGAGTAGGCATGGCAACGAGGCGAGGCGAGGCGGTTTTACCTCTCCGATCGTCGCCCTCGACTTTTTAACCATCACCGTCCCCGTCTCCGATATCTCGTCGGAGTTAGAAATTAAGTCTTCATCCCCGTCCTTGCTTGGGTTTCGGGTTCTCAGCTCCGCTCGTCCCCGATCTATATTAATTTTAAAAGGATAATTATATTTATCATAAATTAATTTTATTATGTATTTTTTATATATAAATAAATATTTATAGTTTTCTAAATTATAATTATTATTAATTAAATATACATTTTAATTTATTATATTTATATTAAAATATGTATGTAAAATAAATATTTAATCATTATTTATTTATATATATATATATATATATATATATATATAGAATATTTATAACATTATTATTATTATAATAACACTGTATTCAAATATTTGAATACTTATAACATTATTATTATAATATTGTATTTAAATATTTGATTATATATATAAGTTAATTCATTTTTAAGTTGTCATTTAAAAATATGAAATATACAATTTATAAAGAAATATTTAATAAGTTAATTCTTATTTAATTAGTTTGAAGTAATAAAAGTTTAAATTATCAATTCCTTTTAATCATTTAAAATACAATTATTTTATTAAGATAAAATTTGATATATAATAAATAAGAATAATTAGATCAAAAAATATGACATAATAACACCTAATAAATATAAATTATAAATAAAATTATATTAGTTACTACTAAGATTTATGTAAAATATTTAGAAAAAGATAAAAAAAATAAAATTAACTTTGTCTTCATCAAATTGGTTGAAAAAATTAAAAAAAAACATATTGATGGGAGAAATTAAGGAAATGTGAAAAACTGAAAAGTAAGAGAGAGAATAATGTAATAAATTAATTGATATAAAAGATAAAAAATTTAAAAAGTGGATAGAAGAAAAATAAAAATTGGTGAAATATAAAAAATGACCTTATATATAATAAAAAAAGAAAAAGAAATATTTTTAAAATATTAATATTTTAAAATTTAAGTTTAAATATAAAGTCGGGCGAGGGCAAATTCGGGTTTTCCCGCTTTAAAAAGTCGAGGCGCGGCGGGGATGAGTAATGCAATCCCCACCCCGACTCCAACTCTGTCCCCGTTATGACTTGATATTTAAATTTAAATTTTAAAATATTAATATTTTAAAAATATTTCTTTTTCTTTTTTTATTATATATAAGGTCATTTTTTATATTTCACCAATTTTTATTTTTCTTCTATCCACTTTTTAATTTTTTTATCTTTTTTAATCTTTTATATCAATTAATTTATTACATTATTCTCTCTTATCTTTCAGCTTTTTCACATTTCCTTAATTTCTCCCATCAATTTTTTTTCAATCTTTTCAACTAATTTGATGAACACAAAGTTAATTTTTTTATTCTTTATATTTTTCTAAATATTTTACAGAAATCTTAGTAGTAACTAATATTATTTTATTTAAAATTTATATTTATTAGGTTTTATTATGTCATATTTTTTTATCTTATTATTCTTATTTATCATATATCAAATTTTATCTTAATAAAATAATTGTATTTTAAAGGATTAAAGGAATTGATAATTTAAAATTTTATTACTTCAAACTAATTGAATAAGAATTAACTTATTAAATATTTCCTTATAAACTATATATTTCATATTTTTAAATTTTAAAATGAATTAACTTATATATATAATCAAATGTTTGAATACAGTATTATAATAATAATGTTATAAGTATTCAAATATTTGAATATAGTGTTATAATAATAATAATGTTATAAATAAAAAATGATTAAATATTTTTTTTCATACATATTTTAATATAAAGATAATAAATTAAAATGTATATTTAATTAATAATAATTATAAATTATAAATTATAAATATTTATTTATATATAAAAAATAGATAGTAAAATTAATTTATTATAAATATAATTATCTTTTTAAAAATAATATAGATCGAAAGCAGCGGGAACCGAAACCCAGTGGGACGGGGATGATGACTTAATTTCTAACCTCGACGGGGATCGGGGATGGTTAAAAAGGTCGGGACGGGGATCGAAAGGCAAAACCCGCCCTCGCCCCGCCCGTTTCCATGGTGAGGAGAAAAAGAAATAAGAGAGCTACACTAGAAAAGAGAAAGAAAAAAAAAAGAATGAATGAATGAGAAAAAAGAAAAAAATTACAAAGAGAGAGAGAAAAATTATATATAAAATGTAGATCGGTCTAAAAGAATAGATAAATTGATGTAGATTTTACTGTGAATAATTTTTTTAAATATATTATTCATAAAATTCATTCTATTTTTGTTTTACTTACAGTTTTTAAATAAATGAATCTCATTCATAATATATTTTTAAAAAATTATTTAAATAAAATTTGTATAAATTTATTTACATAATTAGATCTATATTTTTATTTATGTACAAAATTTAATAATAAAAATAAATTCATCTCATATAATATAATATTTTTTATTAATTTATTTTATTATTTTTCTCCTTTCATTTTTTTTACGCCCATCTCTTGTTCTTCTTTCATTTCATCTTATTCTACTAACTAAAAATGCTATATTAAAATTTGATAAAATCAATCTTTTTTTATTTTTAAATAATAAGAATATTTAAATTATCTAAAAATATTATAATTTAATATATTATATTTAAATAATACTACTATGTTATAATTATTAAGAACAATTAAGTAATTATAAAGTAACTTTTTTAATAAATATTTTTAAAATTACCTAACTCAACTAATCATCACTCAACCTAACTAGAATTAGATTAAATAACTAAATAAAAAATACATTCAACTCATAAATATATGATATATTTTTAATTAGACGAATAATTTATTTATTAGGATAGAATAATTTTAAATAAAATTATTGAATGTCATAATAATTTTAAATAAAATTATTGAATGTCATAATAATTTTAAATAATTAGTTGATATTTTTTTAGTTTTAATGTTGATTTTAAAAAATTTACTCTAAAAAATTTTAATTATATTTTATAATAGTTTCAATTATAAGTAAAAGAGGAAAAAAATTCAGATAGAAGGAGAAAAACAAATAGTGAATAAAGACAGAGAAAAAGAAAAATTACAAGAAAGGAGAAGAAAAATCACATATGAAAAATAAACATGTTTATTTAAATAAATAAATTGATAATAATTATACTTGAGTAATTTTTAATTTAAAATATATTATTTATAAGATTGATTCTTTAAAAATCAATGTTATTATTTTTCATTTACTTAAAAATCAATATTATTAATTTTCATTTATCTTAGTTAATATAATATTATTTTAAAGATATTTAAAAAGAAATTTAATGTTGTTAACATAAATAGTCACATATTTAAAGAAAATAAATACAATCAACTTTTTTTAATCAATAAAGACGGAAGTATATTAGAACATGACCAAAAATACAAAGGGAGTAATATAATCATACAAAAAAATATAAGTCATAATTTTAGTTTTCAATTTGAAACCGAAGGTCTAACATAAGGTATAATAATGTGGGTTGACCCGCATCACGTTTGGTCCATACCGGTTGATCCTCGTAAGGTTTGCGGATTATGTTTGTCAGCTGGCATAATGATTAAAAAAAATTGGTACACTATCAAATTGACACACTAGTTGTCATATTATCTTCCTATAATTTTAATTCATAAATTTTAAAATAAAATATAATAATAATTTATCTTTATAGAAAATTTAATTGTTATAAATTTTAATTGAATATCTCTTCTTCTTTTTATTTTTTTAATTGATTAATTTAATCTTTAACTTCATAATTTATTTATATGTGTTCTGAATAAAGTCATAATTGTCTCTAATCACAATTGATTTTACATTAAATTAAAAAAAAATTAAAGCAAAATATTATCACTAATATTGATCTTAAATTACTAACATTGTACTAAATGAACTTAAATATTAAAAATGAATAAAAACACAAAGAAATAAAAAATGGATTAGAATGAACAATATGAGAATTTGTAAATAATTTATTAGTTTAAATATTAAAAAAATATATAAAACCCACTTGTTGAAAATGCCTATCCTGTCATGTGTTTTTTATGATGAACTTGCGAGTTGATCTACACGGCCCATCCATGGCCCATCCATATTGCTACTCCTACATAAAAACCATAACATATATTTAGATATGTGCTTCCTAACGTAATTTTTAATTCCAAATTAAAAACTTTCACCATCTATTGCTA